CATCGGGATGAGCTTATATTTTCAAAAATGTCAATATTTCACAAAATACAAGGTAATTCCTTAATTATGTTAAATTGCACTGTACTTTCTTAATTATTAACGTTTTTAAAGATATAAGCTCATATCGATGTTACACTCATCCAGAGCTTTCATTTGAGTACCCACATGCATTTTTTATATATTTTTCATATATCCATATATATCATATATATATAAATGTATAAAATATATGAAAAATTGATGTGGATACTCAAATGAAAGGTCTCGATGAGTGTAACGTCGGGATGAGCTTATATCTTTAAAAATGTCATTATTTTACGAGATAAAAGTTCATTTCTTAATTATGTATCTAGAGATAGAGCATTTTCGAATGCAGCTTAACTACTTATCACCATAAATTGACGATTGGTGAGAATGATATGAAACCTTGAAAAGGCACAAATTCAAGTCAAGACTTTTCTAATGTTACCAAATTTGACCATAAAAACCCATTTTATCATATTAATACACTGGCCACAAAATTTTTTTTTATTCTCTTCATAATATAGATTAAAATTTAATAAATTGAATAATTGTCTTCAAATATACTGTCATTGATAGTTAATAAATACTTCTATCAGTTTATAAATTTATCTGGAACGTAATTTGAAAAATAAAATTTGATTTTTTATTTATTCAATTAAGTGTTCTTAATATAAAATAAATTACGAAAATTTCTCGCATTCAAGGAAATTAAATTAGTTTGTAATCAATAAACACAATATTTTATAAATCCACAGGATTTATTACTATATACAGAAATTAACAAACTATATTTTACCTTTTATAATTACAAAATTTCAATAATTAAGATACGTACCAGACGATCTTAAAAATTTATTGAGAATGTTTGGAAAGAATGTTTCGTTATAGTAAGTAAATTTTCTGTTTCTTGTAAAAATTCACTGATGGAATTGATCTTATTATGATTATGAGTAGTGTTAATTTCTTTTTATGGATTAAAATAAAAATTAAATCCTTTAATTAATACAAACCACTCAATAATTTTTCAAAATCTTATCTTATAAATTATTTAAAATGAAAAATAATTTTCTCTGTTGAGTTTCAGCACAATTGATTAACACTTTAACTAATTAAACTGTTGTATAACAATATTTTTAGATAATTAATTATCTATGCAATTATTGTAAGCAATGTTTCGTTTAATTACTATGAAAAAAAAAAATATATAAATTTTAATATAAAACTATTGAACACATATTTGACTATTTTTCACGTAAGTTAATTATGCTTTGTTAATATTTGCATTATTTTTTCAGAGTTTGTTTTAATATATTACATACTGAGAAAAAAAAATGTATTTAAAAAAAAAAAATAGCAATATTTTAATAAGAAATTAATTTGTTTAAAATTTTTAATAAATTTATTTCTTAGCAGAAGAAATAAAAAATTTTACAAAAATTTGCAAGTTGTTCATTTAAAATTTTTTTTTTCAACAAATTATTGCAAGAAAAATTTTTTTCTTCAGCTAAGAAATAAAATTGTTTTAAATTAATTTTTTTTTTAATAAAAAAAAAATTATTTTTTTTTAAATAAAAAAACATTATTTTTTAAAAATTGGAATAATAATAAATTTGAAATTAAATTGTTTATTTTTTTGATTATGGGCTTTGAAATGTGATTTTTTTTTTTAATAATAAAATTATTATGAATTAAAAAAAAATGAAGATTTAAATTTAAAGTTGTAAATGAAAATATCAATGAATATTTAAAAATTACACGTTTATATTCGAATGTGCTGATGAGAATTTAATTAGACGAAAATTTTTTGTAAGAAGCTGTCATTTGTTCGAGGAAGATAAATGTAAGGACAGTATGAGGCCCTAATCGAGCATAATATGGGACGAATCCTTTCCATAAAGCAAAAATTCCTTCGTTTCGGACGACTTTTCCCAATACATCGAAAGCTCCTTTATATTCAGGCTTGCCATCAATCATTTTCATATTCTGAATACGTGTTTTAGCAATATCAACTGGCATTGATGCAGCTGTTGTTATTAATCCGGAAATCATTGAGCTAGTGAAATGGAGCATAATGTTTTCTTCAAAATATCCTGTAATAATATAAGAATTTTTAATAATAATAATAATAATAATTTTAATTCTTATAATTAATTGCTGATATAAAATATTATTTAAATAAAATTTAAATTTAAATAAATTGTATTAGAAAAAAATTACCGGAATCAAGTAAAGCTTGTTTAGCTTGAGAATATGATGCTAATTGAGCAGCATTTACGACCATAGCACGTCCCATTGTTGGTATCGCGCCTCTCCAAAGTGTCAAAATTCCTTCTTCTCTAATTATTCGGAATAAAGCGTCGAAAACATTTTTATACATTCGTCGCTCGGCTGTAATTTATAAATAGAAATTTTAATATTTTTTTTCTATTTTTAATCTTTTATGTTGAGTAAAAAATAAATTTTTATTTATAAAAAAAATATAATTACCTATTGGAAGGCGTCCGTCAGCAGTCATCCGAATTAAAGCAACTTCAGCTGGAGTGCCTACAAAAGCTCCAACACAACCGGCAGCCATTCCCAGACCAGCTTTAACGAAAAAGTTAGGCTGTGAGTCTTTCCTAATTAAAAAAAAAAAAAAAAACATTAAAAAATATAAATGTAAATAAATTAAATTCAATTTATCAAACTGATAATCTATATTATTGAGAGAACAATAAAAGATTTGTTTCCAAGATAGTCATATGAGAAAATCGGTTTTTTTAGTTATAAGTATTTAGGCTGCATTTGAAAATACTCTATCTTTAGATATATAATTAAGAAATTGCCTTTTATTTTGTGAAATATTGACATTTTTGAAAATATAAGCTCATCCTGATGTTACATTCATCGAGACCTTTCATTTGAGTACCCACATCAATTTTTCATATATTATATATATTTTTATATATTACATATATGTAAATATGAAAAATATATCAAAATGCATGTGGGTACTCAAATGAAAACTCTTGATGAGAGTAACATCATGATGAGCTTATATCTTCAAAAATATCAATAATTAAAAAATGACCCTTTATCTTGAGAACTATTGACATTTTTAAAGATATAAGCTCATCCCGATGTTACCCTCGTCGAGACGTTTCATTTGAGTACCCACATCAATTTTCCATATATTTTATATATTTATATATATTATATATAT